GTCTGGGACCAGCTGAAGCAGAGACTGGATGACCGTACTCCACCCCCACGTGACCTGGCAGAACTGCATGGAGCACCTGTGGAAGAGTGGAACGCATTTCCTCAGAACAACATCATGAGGCTAGTGAGGAGCACGAGACGTCGCTGTCAAGCTGCCATTGCGGCAAATGGGGGAAACACCCGCCACTGACATTGTCAATTTTTGTTATTTGGGGCGATCCTTGTTATTGTTTAAATTTTGGGGGTAGTGTAAACTTATTGTGAGTAGTGTAAATGTTAGAGTGAAGTCCTGCAGGAATCCCACATTAATACCAATCAATACTGGGGAAAGATGGTTTAGTAATAAAGAATAAATGAGTCAAAAGAGATGTTCTTCATGTTCTATTTGATGGACTTCATCAGTTTTGAACGATGGAGAACTTTTTCTAATGGAGGAAAATGTGACACGATTTTTGAAATAATAAAGCGCCGAGAAACAGACACATACCAAGTTTTGTTAAATAAAGAGGATTTATCAGCTGAACAGCTTTCCTACAATGTGATTTGTTTACACACATACCTCTGGTGGACAGGAGAGTAAACAAATGGCTGCGATGGCATCTGCACTGCTGTTCCACACAAAATCACCGGGAACATTAAACTAAACTGTAGAATACCATGTAAATTAATCTAAACCTGAATAATTGCATTTGGGCTGCAGAAGCAGATGAGTAATTCTAAATCCTTAGATGGCAAAACTTGATTTTCCAAGTGGACTTTAGTGCCATCTTGTGGCTGCAGCTGATACTTAAGAACAGTCCAGCAGGGGAAAGACTGTGGTGCAGATTTTATTTTACTTATCCATCAATTATCTATACACCGCTTAATCCTCACTAGGGTCATGGGGGGCTGGAGTCTATCCCAGCTGACTCAGGGTGAAGGCAGGTTCACCTGGACAGGTAACCAGTCTATCACAGGGCTACACGTAGAGACAGACAACCAAGCACACTCACATTCACACCTACGGACATTTTAGAATCACCAATTAACCTCAACATGTTTTTGGACTGTGGGAGAGGAAGCCAGAGAACCCGGAGAGAACCCACACTACACGGGGAGAACATGGAGACTCCACACAGGAAGATCCCGGGTGTTTACAACATCCCACTCAAGTCTATTGTCTGACGAATATTCCCTCAAACCCGAGTTTTCAAACAGAAACGACCACAGCTGCCTCAATCATTTATAAAAGATCTAATTGTGATTTTTCTGGCAGATATTACAATTTGATATTTGACATATTTATTATAAAGTCAAGCTTCAGTTCAACATTGACAGTGTGACAGATGAGCTGGTTGCTGCATTAACAAGTGAATGAACACGGTATAGTTGTGCTTTGGTTTGTTTGTGTTTTCAGACTTGGACAGGACACGCAACACAGTGCAGTGACTTGGTGTTGAATCCCAGACTTTCATTATTATTCTTTCTTTTTCATGGTCACCGGGAGAGTTTAGGCCGCAAGAAAAAGCAAGAATATGAATCTTTATCTTGTCTTTACTGACAAACTACCAGACAAAAAAACCTTTGCTTTTACACTTGCCTTTTTAAAAACTGATTTTATCTGGAGGGAAAAACAGGCAGATGAAAACATAGAAACAGAAAAGGTCTGACTTACTGTATCGACCAGCTTCAACCTGATGAGCAACAGACCAACAGAGTAGCTTGATGTGGGATCAATGACCTGAGAAGACGGAGACAGACAAACAGAAACTATAACCTAAAGGTGTACACGGGATGATACTGTATGTTCTATAAATATATGAGCGAGACAGAAACATAATGACACACAAACAGTGGAGGGTATTAAGTCCTGCTGTGTTTAAGATTAACCCTGCAGAGGGAGAAAAATGAAAACCGGAGTTAGAGCACAGAGAGATGGTGAGATACTAGACCATGTCATTTTTAACCTGTGCTTCCCAGCAAAGTCTCCAGTATGTGGCTTGTCTCGCTTCATTGATGTACAAACCATGCGTAATTGAACCACAAATTCACCTGGAAATCTGAAGCAAGCTTTGCCTGATCTGCAGGAGGCTCGGTGGAGACAGAAAGCACAGGCTGATAAGAGGAAACAGAGGGCGCAGGAGGCACGTATGGAAAACCAGATGGTGGCCCTCAGGAGGAATAATTGAAAAGACGAAGGTTAAGTTAAAGATCCTGAGTGTGCGAGCTCTTGTCCTTGTATATTAAATTGACTCTTTGGCCTTTAGAGCGATTGCATTTTAAAATGACGACATTTCACTTATCCCTCACTGCTGTCGGGGACATTTGAGACCTTACATCTGGTTTAGGAGTGGACTTCGGTGTAGAGGTTAAGTGGGTTAGTGCTGTGGTTAGACGTGATGTAGTTGTGCAAGTTGAAGAGCGAAGGCCTGCGTTCTGTCAGTGAGGATCCTACAGGAGTACAAACGTGAGCAGCTTATTTTCACGAGGCGCAAAAGCAGAAGTGCCTCCAAGATCACGAGACTCATCAGAAATACTGAAGTTGGAAAACAATGTTTTTGTACGATGCATTGCGACACGTAAATCTGTTCTTCTTTGTCGAAACTTGCACAACAAAAAGCATTTCAAATTAGTTGAACACCCCAAACTCTAACTTTACTACATGTGCCACAGCTGATGTTTCAAAGGAAATTGTCAAAACAAGCTCAATTTGCCTTTTTAACTTTCTAATCTTAAACATCTACCTGCTTTTGTTGTCTACCCTTTTATTACTTATAACAAATAAGTGCAGAGAAACATCTGCATCTGAACTCAAGGAGCCAGAATTCAGGTATGTCCTCACATTTCTGTCATAGCTAAACTTACTCAGTCCAATTATTGCACATGTTTAAGGTAAAATAACTGCATTTTACCTGCAACAGATTCTTAAAAATACTTTAATATGAAAATGGCAACTTACACCTCAGCAGTGGGGCACAATGCTTTAAGTAAGAACACAGAGGAAACAGGGAAAAATCTAGAAATTTAAATACACAGTTGGGCGCAGGCTCTGCTTACAACTACTGCTGTGTCCAGTCATTTAAAAAGCAGCAAAAAGGCTGCATACGATGGACTTTGCACACAGAACAAGCTCAGATCAGCAGCACTTAAAAGATGTCAACTGAGAGATGCTCTGAACAACTAGCACTCATCGGCCACAACACTCAAACCACTTACTGACTTACTGACACTAAGTGTGTAGGTTCTCCTGGCACCTCTGGGGGTGTCTTGTGGTTTGCACAGTTTTAGCATTGTGCTGCTGATGCAGTGCTTTTGCTGTGGAGTGTCTAAGTTGTGCGTTTAGGTGGGTGGTATGTGTCAAAACAACATCCGCCTGAATGCCAGGAACCAAAGCTTCCCATCAGCACTGAAATGAAATGATCAATGTTTTTCACTTCACTCGTCCGTGGTCGGCGTGAGGTTGGTGTTACATGTTTTCATCTCTGAGATCTCTTCTAATAATACTTCTAAAAGCATTATACATACATTTTCATTTATCCCTGCTGCTATTTTCTTGTTAAATAAGTGATGGGTCTTGTCTTTTCTCTGTTGTTTATTGTTGTTGTTGCCTGTGTGATTGTGGCAGTGACTGTCTCATTGTTGGCTGCACAAACATTTCCCCATGGGGATATTAAAGATTTTTGAACCTTGAACCTTACCACATGATTTATGTTGTAAAAAAGAATTACAGAAGATAGGGATATTCTAACGCTGTTTGTGATTACTGACCTGTAGCTCTGGGTTAAATCATAGTTTATTCATGGTAAGAAATGAAGAAAGGAGGAAGTAATTTTAAGATGTCTGGGATACCTTTAACATCAGTTTTCACGATTAATTCACCTAAATGCTGACAGCTACAGGGCCACTGATAGGAAACATGTCTGCCCATTTGAGCAATCTCAGTGTCATCTTTGACTTTAACATAATTACGACTTTTCACTGAGGAACTAAATTGAAACGCATCTTTTGTCTAAATGGCATGAAAACTGTGACAACTGCATCAATCTCCTCAAAGCTAGACTACCTTAACTCTCTGTACCTGCTCTGGCTGCCTGCTAAGTACTGAACTGACTCAAGGTTCTTTTATGTGCTCACAAAGCAATGCTTGGATCAGCACCTGGGTACATTTCTGAACTTCCCTGCCCCAACTTCACCTCCTGGATCCCCAGAACAGCTGCTCCAAAGCTTTGGAATAGCCGTCCTCTTTCCAACTCTGCCATAATTTACCAAACGTATGTACATCAATGCCAGTTTGCACCTGTGTACATGTTTATCTGTATTTGCATTAGTAATTTACTGTGTTTTTGTTTGTTTTCTCTCTTTTCTTTTATTCTATTCATTCTATTTTTTATTTTTATTATCTTACTTGTCCTACATTTGCGTATATATATTTATCCTTATTTGTTTGATTTATGATACTTATCTTAATTTATTTTTTTCTACTTAATTTCTTAAGTCATTGTTGCACTGCCTGGGGACAAATAAAGTTTTCTGAATCTGAATCAAATGTTTCGTCCTCCGCTCACATTTTTAATACAAACCAGAAGACATACATGTTTCAGTGGCTTTTGGTCGTTCTTAATGGTCTTAACATTTTTGTATTTTATGCATGTTTTGCCTTGTTTTACAGTATATTATATTTATTTTATTATGTTTTACACACTGATTATACAAACTTTATCCTGTGTTAGGTTTTGCACATATTTTTTCTTGACTTTTCTATTCTTGGCTGTCTTATAAGACTCTGGTTGTTCTGAAATGTGCAACATTAGAAGTCCAGTTGCTTTAGCCAGAAGCACCTTATTTAGCTTTTATTATTATTACTAACATTATCTGTTATTTAGTTTATGCTGTCAACAACGTAACCTCTAAAACTACATTTGAAAATGCCAAATGTGTTTGTAGAGAATCATAGTAAGCTCTTTTAAAACATAAATACTTACTTTACACAACAGTTAGCTAGCCGCTAACAACTTAGCATATCTTAGCATACTGCTAACGCTAGCTAACGTTTGCTTACCGTTTTAAACACGAACGTTCCTCTCGGTTTGTTTTTTTACCGTTTCATTGTTACATGAGATAATGTTAACATCGCTTAATATTGAATATGTGAATGTTTGGGATACTTTATGGATGAAAAATTTGGTTCATTTGTACAAAAAATACAATTTTCTTACCACATTCTTGAAGAAGCCGCAGGGAACAAAAGCTGAACTTCATCAGGTAGCAAGAGAGCTTCGAGATGATTGGTCAACAAGGCGGCAGATGGTTGGGGCTTGTCCAATCAGATACCTTGTAGGCGGGACCTTTGTAACGCCGTTACCCAATCAGCATTGAGACAATTGTGTCGTTAACAGATGCTTTTTGTAGGAACAGAAATGTGCCATGATCTATTAAATGCAATATTATTTGTATGATACTGAGTATATTTTTGATTTACTCTAAATCATTTGCAAAGTATGAGGCTTTTTTAAAAACTGTATTTGGTTAAATCATCAATTGCATACATGTTAAAACTTTTAATAGTAAACAAACAAATGCTCAATGTCTGAATTTTCTCGCTAAATACAATTTACAAATCTCACATCTCTGTGCAAGCGTTTTGTTTGGCCTTTTTATCATCAAATACTTCATTTACTGCCTTCTGGCGATTTGTTGTGCGTCATTTTCTGCATCAGTTTACAAAGCAAATGTTTTATTTATGTCAAGGAAAACACAAAATCAGTGACCAGGAAAATGGTGCAGTGATGATTTACTCTTCTGTCTTCCTTTCTTTCTTTCTTTGGTTTGGTGAAGTAACATTTAAATGTGTATGTGGCACCTTTTCACATAAAAGACAACATACTTCATTTGAATTTATCCATAAAACACCAGGCTTTGATAGCTCCTGTTTAACACTTTCTCCACATTTAAAACATTTATGTTTGGTATACTGAATAAAAACAACCTGCCTCCATCGTGTGTCTATGAGTAAATGATATAGCGGCTATTCAAAACTAAATTCTCGTGCTTTGCTCTTGTTTTTATTGAGAGGGACAAATGCACAAGTTTTAAATATAAAAAAATGGAACATTTCTGCATCTATGGCTCTGAGCAATTTACTCAAGACGATTTTTTGGTATGAATCCTACTGACTCCAGTATTGGTATCAATAAAGATAAAAAGACTTTCTGTTATAACTATTGATATGTAACTTTATGCAGGATATAAAAGGGGCAGGGATGAAGCTCAGCCTGACAAATCCGGCCTAAAAGTTTACTTATTGCATTGTGGCGGATAAAATAGTCTGAAATAAAATCATTTTTACAAGGTTGCACAAGACACGACCTGCCATTCAAGTCTTCCAGGTGTCGGATCTTACTTTTCTTTGATCACTGCATATCTCCAATCTGCCGAAACGCCTCTCAGTCTAAAGTAAACAGAACCGCTCCCACAAGAAAAGCAAAGTCTCCCAACAATAAATCTGTTTTGCTCTCGGGTTGGTTTGCTTCTGTTTACCGGTGGAGCTACGCGGCCTCTTCCTCGCCGACCTCTGACCTCTGACAGCACGGCTCAGAGCGAATGCCGACCGTGATGGTTTAACTCAGGGCCAAAGGAAACATAAACAGAACAGAGAAAAGTGTCAGCAGAGGCGAGAAGGCAGCGACTCTGTTTAGTTTGTGGCAAGTAAAGAATTTAAATTGATTTTAAATGTGTATCATCAGCAAATAAAAGCAGGTAAATAAAGATGGAAACTCAAAGCAAAGTAAAACTCCAACAAGATGCCGAGATGCTAAACAACAGCAGGAGCTCGCTGAAAAAGTATAAAATATCTACTTTATTCAATGAAAAATGTGTTATTTCCTTCAACAAATGAAAAACATCTTCCTGTTATGTGAGATTATTTTAAAATGGTTCTGATATAATTCAGCTTTTTTTCAAACATTTTCTAAAATTCTGCCATTTTTCTAGATTTGAGAGCAGAAATTTCAACTGAAATACTTGAATTTGATTTATATTGAAAAGATTTTACTTCTTTGTGGGATTTTTGATTTATTTTTTCAACTTGAATCAAGAAAACAGTCACTTTATAAAATGCACTGGCTCTGTTGATGTGTATTTTGCTTTTTTCTGCTGTTATTCGTGATGCTTAATTAATTACATGACAGATTGTGTGTCGTTTCTTCCTCAGAGTCCATTATTTTAGATAATTATACCCCTCAGAGTACATCGTGGCTCTAATAAAGTTATCATTTTAACCTGTGCTTGTTGCTATGGAGAGGTTAACTTGTTCAGCTCATTGTTCTCCACGCATTTGTTTTATAGCTTAAAGAAAAGGTTGAATATATAAGAACAATCCTCACAGATGATATAAACTCATAGTCTGGGTGTCGTAATCAACTTAAAAATACCAATAAATGATTCAGTTTATGCAGAAAACCTGTAGGAGAGAGAACAAACGTGACTTGGTCTCCATGATAAAAGTTTATATACGTCAAACATATGGCTTACAGTCGTGTTTAAAGGGATACAAACGCTCGGTCAACCCTGAATATGCTCAACGGTGTAAAAAAAAACAAACGACATACAATACAAAACGGTCTCTGTACAAGGCAAGTGTGTGTTTTCGGTTTTTTGAAAGTAATTCATGGAAACATTCTGCATGCAGGAGGTGGAATATTCATCAGGCTTAGAGTCAAGTATGAAGATCATCAGTTTGGCTCCCTGCTGACAAAAATGAAGGTAAATTAAATCATATTTAGTCATTTGGTTAATTTAAAGGCTCTATATTTGGTTGATTTGTTCCTTTTTCAAATCCCGTTATATGCTCAAACATATTTATGATTAAAACCCTGAATTTGGCACCAATTAAAACATTTAAAAAATACACATTTAGAGGGAAAATTAACTCTCATCTGAAACCGCTTCTTATCCTCCCATGAGGACATTAACTCCCAACGCCAGGCTGCAAAATAAGTCTGAGATGACTGGACTGAGAAGCAGAAACATACACGATGGGCGATCGAACAGTTCTGATAATGTTCGTGGAGCGCCCATGAAGTTTACCATCCATCCATCCATTATCTATACACCGCTTAATCCTCACTAGGGTCGTGGGGGGCTGGAGTCTATCCCAGCTGACTCAGGGTGAAGGCAGGTTCACCTGGACAGGTAACCAGTCTATCACAGGGCTACACTTAGAGACAGACAACCAAGCACACTCACATTCACACCTACGGACAATTTAGAATCACCAATTAACCTCAACATGTTTTTGGACTGTGCGGAAGGAAGCTGGAGAACCCGGAGAGAACCCACGCTGCACGGGGAGAACATGGAGACTCCACACAGAAAGATCCCGGGTGTCCTCACCGGGATGTGAACCAGCGACCTTCTAGCTGTGAATCCTTGCAGCCCCACATGAAGTTTACATTTAATGTAAATCTGAGACATGCGAGCAGCACCAGGTTTGCCCCGTCTGCATTTTGGCTCTATACAATTAACAAAATAGTAATAATATTTTTTTGGTTCTTTATAAAATTCTAAACACATTTCAGACACATAAAACCTTATGGCTTGTTTTTTTTTTTTCAGCTCTCATTCTAAGTGCTGATGTACATATAAAATGTTTAAAGTTGTCTTCAGTGTAACAGAAACAGACTAACAACACATTCAGCTTTCGGGGAACGTTTTCTCTCCAGTACGGTTGTGGTATTTTGGAAGTAAAGGTTTGAATTTGCAGCGTTTTTAAAAACTGTAATCAAAAGAAATTGTCTGAAATGGGTGATAAAATGTCTGTTTGTTGATGCAGGTTTCCGTCCCGCGAAGGCACAGATTCAGCTGTTGCAAAATGTAAAATGTCAGCAGTGACGTACGAGAAGTTTGGAGAAGAAGTCTTTCAGCTCAGAGACTCCTGCAGATCCACGAGGTTCAGTCTCTGCAGCAGCAAATGATATGTCTATGGAAGTGTCCTGGAGTAAGACGTCCCGCATTCTGACTCACTCAGAGTATGAGCTTATGAAAACAGAGGATTCCCGTGTCTGGTCAGAGCACGGTGGTCTCAGTCTGCAGGATGGACTGGGCTCGGGAGTTCCTGGGAAACTGATTTTCGACTCCATTCCGGCTCACGGACGTGGCGTGGAGCCTGTAGTCCCGTCCGACGTAACGCTTCAGAGACAAACTCCTCCACGTCCTCCTCAGCTCGCTCTGCACCTTTTAATACACAAAGCAGAGTAAAGGTAAGTAGGATCACTGTATTTAATCACAGGATAATACAAGTTACGCTCAGGAAACCGCAGGCATAGACTCACCTCGCTGTTGAGGAAACAGTAGAGGACGGCAACGATTAGACCCTAAAACACACAAATGTTGCTGAGTCATTAACGTTTCACAGAAACTGGAAAATAATGACGTATCATCGGTGTGAATGCTCTGGCTGCTCAAACCCGTCACACGATACCTGGAAGGATCCGAGGCCGAGGTCGAAGAAGATCTTGACTTGCGTCAGGTTTTTATCGTCCGGCTCCATCAGGTAGAAAAACACGACGTAGTGCACCCCGAACAGAGGGATCAACAGCAGGGTGGACTTAGCCAGGCGCCTGGAAAACACGCAAACACTCATTATGCACAACGAACACAGGCCCAGATTCAGCGTGATTAACTTTGTCCTGACTTAATGAACAACTGGGTTTTTCCATGCTACACAGTTCTTGGGTATCGCTTACCAAAGTGAAAATAAACCACTGACGTCGGCCAAAAATACATGAAAAGTCACATTTCTGTTCTCTTAAACTTGTCATTATCACGCCTAAAAGATGTGAAGCTGTATGCTGCACATCTCATGATGTTCCTTTTTAAGAGTTTCACAAGAGATCTCCAGATCAAGGCGTCTCTGGCTGTCAACAGCTCCTAGTTTTGGTGCATTCTGTGACAGGTATGGTGCTGTCTTTGTCAAGCTATTCACATGTGAGGATTTAATATGACTGCAGTGTTATCAGTTATCGTGGCACCACCTTAAATCCATTTAAACTTCCTGCTTGTCTTTAGAAATAAGGGTGACTGTTTGGTATAATTTGATGAAATCAGACACAACAAGCCTGATTCATATCCACTCTATGTACACATGTGAAAGGCAACAGTCACATCTGGCAGAAACACACCGGCTGAATTGGACTTTAACATGACGGCTGAGAAGTCCAGTGAGCTGGTAATGAGATAAGAGTTGCCTAATGTGCTGAGGACATGAGATATGGTGGGCGTTACATCATCAGAAATGCATCAGACTCAGAGGTGAAGTATTCCTGTTTCTCTGCGTACCTGTACTGTGACTGATCGTTTCCTCCGACGTCAGTGCAGCGTAGCTTCTGTACCAGGATACGAATGATGCTGATGAACAGGATGAAGTTGGTCTTGTAGAGAAACAACACAGAGACAGAGTCACGTTAGTAAAATATGTTGTTCTACTCCAGAAAGATTTGTATCTAAATCCATGAAATTTGCCTTTTTAGATAATAAAAACCGGTTAAACTAGAATCAGAAAGGTCTTATTGGCCAAGGAGGTTTTCTCAAGCAAGGAACTGGACTTGGCGTTTTAGTTTATTTTATTTTACTGCATTCATTTTAGCCTCTAACTTTCCCAGTTCTCCAGAGCCTGCTGTGGAGAAGCCTCCTCACGTCATGATGCTGCCACCGCCATGCTTAATGGTGGAGATGGTGCGTCTGTAGTGATGTGCACTGTTTGCATCTGGTCTGATGATCCAAAAAGCTCAACTTTGGTCCAAACAGACCAAAGAATCTTCTTCCAGTTGACCTCAGAGTCTCCCAAATGGATTCTGGGGAACTCTGGTCCAGATTTAATATGAGCTTTTTTCAACAGAGTCTTTCTCTTTGCCACTTTCCAATAATGTTTTGACAAGTAAAGAACAGACAACACTTGTTGTATGAACAGTTTCTCCCATCGCAAGCCTGAAGCTTGTAAAACTCTTTTAGAGGAGTTGTAGGCGTCTTGGTGGCCTCCCTCACTAGTCTCCTTCTTGTAACTCCTTCAGAGGAGTCATAGATGTCTTGGTGGCCTCCTTCACTAGTCTCCTTCTTGTAACTCCTTCAGAGGAGTCATAGGTGTCTCGGTGGACTCCCTCTCTAGTCTCCTTCTTGTAACTCCTTCAGAGGAGTCATAGGCGTCTTGGTGGCCTCCTTCACTAGTCTCCTTCTTGTAACTCCTTCAGAGGAGTCATAGACGTCTTGGTGGCCTCCTTCACTAGTCTCCTTCTTGTAACTCCTTCAGAGGAGTCATAGGAGTCTTGGTGGCCTCCTTCACTAGTCTCCTTCTTGCTCTGTCTCTCAGTTTTTGAGGACGGCCTACAAACTTACACATGTACTATATTCCTTCAAATTCCTAATGATGGATTTAACTGAACTCAAAAGGATATTTTGTGATTGTGAAGTTTTCTTGTGTCCATCCCTGACTTAAGCTTTTCAGTAACCTTGTCACAGAGCTGCTTGAAGGGTTCTTCTGTATCTGTGGTGTAGTTCTATCCAGGAGTACTGATCCACCAGTGACCAGACCTGGACTACAATCACTGAGACACATTCACTGACCTCAGATGATCTCAACTTCACTAACTGTTAGATTTCTAGCACCAGTTGGCTGCACTTGTGTTGAATCAGGTTCCTTTTTTTGTGCTCTTTCTTGTCCACGAGTCTAAACACAGTGTTGTGATTTTTGCATCTTAAAAACTTGTAGGAGGAGAAAAGTGAAACCTTGCAGGTCCAAACCGGTTCAGGTGACTCAGGTATGTGTCACTGAATAAATAATCCCTCCCTGTTTGTTAAAGGGATCATTCGACAGTCTTGAAGTGCACAAACACATGTTAAAGTGCATTAATACAACCTCCAGCATGGCAACATGAACACGAGCAGCAACATGTCGTCCACAATCAATCAAGCAGAGCAAAAAAAAAAAAACAAAATCACATTAATCAGAGCAGAAAAGTAAAGTTCACGATGACAACGTGTTCTGATGGATCAGCTGCTGGCCAACGTGTTTGAAACAAGCTGCTGAATGATTGAACCTTATCGGAGACTTATCTCTGTTTTTACTGTAGATGTTTTCTCGATGACCGAGCAGCGTTTATAAATGTTCATATCAGACGGTGGGAGGACGAGAATATACAGCGTAACGAAGTACTGAGGTCCTTCACCTAAAGAGAAGCAATACATCAACATGAGACTGTACTTAAGGAATCCAAATCAAACATATTCATTATGTAGAATGAAATAATGGAGCCCTCGACAGCTGATTTATTTCAGTCATACTTAATATGTACAATGTTGTTTGTATAATTAAAGTTAGAATAATTGTAGGGAACATAATAATTTTGGCGCTAAATAGCCTAAATTGAGAAAAGTCAAGTGAAGGTCCGAAAAACTTTTCCTAAATAGAGAAAAACAGAGATGCAGCAGTTTACAATCATCAGCTGGTAGTTAAGAGTTTCACCAAACTGTTAAAAAATTACTTTTTAAAACAGTTAACTGTATTTTTAAAAAATAATTTAAAGTTATTTTACAAATTTCCACCATTATCGTAAATTTCAGTTAATGTTTTTATAAAAGCAAAAAAATCCCCATTTTACAGATATTTACTATTATTTAAGAAAAAAAGGTATATTAAAGATTGAAAAATGGTAAATACATGGTTTAGGTTTATTGTTGTTTTATAGGTTTTTAGCTGTTTTGTTAAATTACAGATAATATCAAGTGAGATCACAGAAAATATGTATTTATTTACATGTTGACTATAAAGAAAGGCCAAACTGTACGTTATGTACAAATCAAAAATCTGCATTTTTAAAAATATCCATTTGGTAATAAAATTAAGCTAGTTTACAGTATTTTAATCAGCTATAAAATATAATTATTCTACAGATATTTGCTGTTATTTTCATCATTTTTTAAAAAAAATTAATAAATCATTGATCATTACATATTCCACCATTTTTAAGCATTTTTTTTTTTCGTACCCTTACTGTTTTATTTTTGCATTTTTTTTTAAGATTAGGAAAATTGTAAAAATAAAAAATAAATAAACAATCAGTGTTTCTTATAAAGTGCTGTAGTTTATAGTAAAGTCTGCACATTTAAAAATAAATACTGAACATGAAACAGTTTTTTTTTCTGCTGAATCAAGTGAAATAACTCAGAACTGTCTCAGCTGCAGCCGTGATAACAGCTGGTTGAAACCTCTGAATGCTGAGAAAAGTGCCACCGTGCCTCCTTTCCTATCATACCTTTGTCCACGAAAGATAAAGAGATAATAAAGTCCTAAAACTCTCTACAGCAGCAGCATTCACAGTGATGCACAGCAGACCATCCAGAGCTGAATTACTGTGCACTGAGATTCCCTGAGCGCCACAGTGGACAGTAAATGTCACGAGGTCGAAGACAGACGTTCAGGAAAAGACAGGATGTGTTTTAATGAGACAAAACTCACGATGACGGACGCCATGATGGGCCAGTTCATCAGCCGGTTGGGGACGGGGTTGTCGTTCACCTCCCAACATCTGGGCGAGAGAAAGCAAACAAAAGGAGGTTTTTAGTGTTTCTGAAAGCAGAGATGGCCGATAGATGCTGATAGAGGAAAAATAATAAAAGCTATGAATGCAGTCACCTGGTCACATGTGCATTCAAACTCACTGTTAAGATGGTAAAGATGGTGTCATAAAGAGGGTGAACCAACCCTTAACAATGTGAAATACTTTCCCAAATGCTTCACTTACAGCTTTTTTTTTTGTCCTTTTTGCCTTTATGGTATAGGACAGTGAAGAGTGAGGCAGGAAAGTGGGTGAATAGAATAAGGCAAAGTGTCATGAGCGGGATTCGAACCCATGGCTGCTGCATCGGGGACTACAGCCCCTGTACATGGGACGCCAGCTCAACCAGGTGAGCTACAGCAGCGACCCCATTTATAGCATGAAACAAATGTATTAGTCCACCTGTCTAATTTGTTGAGCACTGTATAGATAGATATAGAGATGTAGACCATCCAGCATCATCAAGTGCTTTAATTTGCACTCTGTTCTCGACGTTTTACCGTTTTGAACATGAATGAGGAATTTCAAACTGAATTCACCTTTTTATACCCAAATCTGAGCCACTGGGCTTCTCTGAGGAGTCAGAAATGAATCAAGCAGCAACATCCATGGATCCATTATCTATACACCACTTTATCCTCACTAGGGTCATGGGGGGGCTGGAGTCTATCCCAGCTGACTCAGGGTGAAGGCAGGTTCACCTGGACAGGTAACCAGTCTATCACAGGGCTACACTTAGAGACAGACAACCAAGCACACTCACATTCACACCTACGGACAATTTACAATCACCAATTAACCTCAGCATGTTTCTGGACTGTGGGAGGAAGCCGGAGAACCCGGAGAGAACCCACGCTGCACGGGGAGAACATGGAGACTCCACACAGAAAGATCCCGGGTGTCCTCACCGGGACGCAAACCGGCGACCTTCTAGCTGCGAGGCAACGATGCTAACCACTGAGCCACCAAAAACTTTTTTTTTTTCTGTTCAGGAATGCAAGTAAATAACTATAATTCAACGTCTTAATCAAGAAATAATAATGTGCTTTACCATTTTTTCTTTTTTTTTGTAAAACAGTACATTTGAAAATGCATGGATACCAATAATAATTATATTTTACATTAAAAATATGATTTTGGTTAAAGAGCTGCTACATGCTGGTGTATGAACCATTACAGAAACATAACAAATGATTGTGGTGATTACCAATGCTGTTAATTAAGGCATAAACCTTACAGTTGGTGGTGGTCTAATACATTTGTTAAGCCTGCACATCATTCAAATGGTGCATTCAAATATCATTCAAATAATAAACTGGTTAAAGTGGAAGCTCTCATCTCATAAGCCAGGGATTTGTTGTCGTTTTTATGCCATTTTGACCTCATTAGACTCGTTCATTGGTGCAGAAACCCCGTCCATGCAGCCGCCACACTCACCCCGTGTCCTCCAGGTTGATCCTACATATGATCCAGGGCACCATGAAAACAAAAGGGATTCCTGAAAGTCAGAAGGAGAGACACTGTGTTTAGATTCTGCTTCTGCCAGACGTGGAACATCCTCAACAAGTTGCCACGCAGGAAACACGGCGTCCACACACATATGTACGTTAAACAGCTTGACGGAGGAAGTGTTGGTGAAGCGGTGATGGATGGCGGCAGGAGGCAGCAGCTGAGACGGAACGGAACGGCGGCCAGCAGACTGTTTACCGGCCGACCCTAAACACGGCGATCCACTTCAGCAGCATGACGCACCGTCTGTGTGTGTGGTGCACAGACTCAGAGTGGAGTGACAAAAAGATGAATCCAACGTGCCTCCAGCATCCCTGTCTGATCGATGGAAAGCCATTCTAACTTGTTCACGGCAGGATAAACATGTGGAGGATTTATTTTTCTCCGGTTTTGCAGCTGGATGACGTCGTTTCCTCACTACGGCTGCAGAAAATGTGCCAAGACAGATTGTACTGATTATAGAGAAAAGCCTGACAAGATTGGTAAAGAGTGCAAATATCACAAGTGGTTGGATTATAGTAACTTGATCCTTGATAAAAAAAAAAAAATAAAAAAAAAAAAGTCAAAAGAAACGAAATTTCTGCAGAAATTACGTAAAGTTTTAATTGTAAATGTGGAATATATTGTAATATTGTCATATTACATTAAAAGGATATATATCAATCTTTATGGCTTTTGTAATAACCTGAGCATTATTTGTGTCTCCTAAACGTGAAGCAGAAAGAAGCATTCCGTTGATTTAGCTTAGCATAAAGATTAGCAATGAGGGGAAACAGCTACATATTTACCGACAAACACAAATAAGCAGTTAATTAGTATGTTTTTGAGGTGCTGGTTGCTTTGGACAGTTGCCTGTTTTCGTTTGTCACCAAGCAAAAATGAATTGATTTAACTACATTTTTTTTTTTTTTTTTAAACTGCAGTTCTTTAAATGTCCACTTGGGGCTGACTTTAAAAGTGAGTCATCCCCATAGACCTCCATGTTAAAAAGCTGAACTTTGCAGCAGAAATAAACATGTTTGCAGACTTTTGCCAAGCAAACATTGGTCTCTATGGCTAAATTTAATGTTTTTGAGCAAAGTACAGGTGGTGAATGTTTATATAACGCACCTATTTTAATTGTATTAAGGTTTAAAGTTATGTATAATGAAGAGTGTTGCTGCTTTGACTGATGTCTGCATCCATCTTTATGTACAGCTTATGGTCATCATGTATAATTACAGGCACATTAAAAACTCCTTTAACCAATGAGACTAAGTCCAAACATTAAAATCTAGTATTCAGCCTTTTTTAGAGGCAAATTTGAAATTAAGCAACCCTTGAGAAAGTTCCACTTTACTTTCAGCGCACACTACAGCTGCCCTTCCAAAGCGTGTAGTACATATACAGTGGAGACATACCGGAGTGTCGTAACACATGCCTTGAACTTCGACCCTCTCGCTCGGGCTGGGAAATATGTAGCGAACAGAAAAAGTATGCGCTGCCATCTATCAACGGAGCCGTCTGCGTGCTCACGCAGGCTCATGCTGGTTTATACTAGCGGAGACTCCACAGCGATGGGATTAATCCGTCTCTGTGCAGAGGAGTGTGGCTCACAGCAGCAAGGAAGGTACTCTGGCTTACAGACGGCACAATGCGTACTGCGTTTGAGATATTTGTGTGGTGCACTATACAGCGTAGTGGTGCTGGAACCCACCCTGGAGCCCAGTTGTTATTATACAGGAGAGCTGGAACCGTCAGTGTCACTGTGCACCTGAAGCTGGTCCTCACTGAAGGTCTATCTCGATTAATTTTTGCAAACTCAAAACACATTTTTCATGAAAACTTCAGTGTGAATTTTGCAGCATTAGAACCACAATAAGAGCCGTTATTCATTTTGTGATGCGTAACAGGCCATGAAGCTTCAGTTCTCCTACCGATATGTAAAGTGTTACTAAGCTCATCTAACTTTTTAAAATAAAACAAATCAGTGTATTTTCCCTGCTTGTATGATCACTTTAAAGGCTGCCACTATATAAGTAGTATTTTGGGATTTTTATATATTTTGAATAAACCATGCAACACATTTTTGTCCACACTGACCTGCTGATATAGAAAAAAAGGTATGAGGTGTCCACATTGGCATTTAAAAGTAATTACTAGAACGCTAAAAGGATAAGAAATCAGAATAATCTCGTCTTTCTCTTCCTCTTTTTTGACAGAAAACCACAAAATTGTGCATCAGTGGAGAGAAAGATGTGAGGATTACGTCTCTGAATTCAAACTTATTTCATTGACTCGCTGCAAAGATGAAAACAATCACCAGTGTCCCTATTTATTATATATTATTAAGACAAAAACTTCAGTGTCCTATAGTGTGACGTTTCTTCATTATGTTGTCTAAAATTACACATAGAAACATCTGTTGTAGGTGTCAGCTTGTCTTCAGCTGTATCCTAATTTTACCAGTAATATTTAACAGTCCAACATGATTTGATTGTAAATCTTCAATATTGTCAATATTGGAATTGTTTTAGTAAAAATGAGAATGCACAAAACATCCAGGTACTGAGTCAGCTGTTTGCACTGACGACTAAGATTAGAGCTGCAAGTTTATTTTTGACTTGTCTTAATAAGGTTTTTGATTCATATTAGTCTGGGAAACAAACTGTAATTGTGTTGCTGCATCTTCAAATATCTGAAATGTAAAGCTTTTCTCTCTGTGTTTCACTTTAAGCAGCTTCAAGGTCAATAAAATCCTCTTAGTGCACTTTATCACAGGACTTTTAGCATCTAATAAAACCTAAATTTAATAATATCTTATGAAATTAAAACATTGTTCTTTTAGTTTGAATAAAACTTGGTTGCACAGTGAAGTTTTTAGGCTTTACTTTAGTGAAATAAATGTTTTCTGAACCAGAATCTTTGGCAAAACTGAGGCAATAAGGTCACAAGTGATAAATAACTGTTGGATAAAGTTGCGTCATACCCCAGCCGATGAGCATGTAGATGGAGAGGCGGGTGGAGTAGGTGTGGATGACCAGCAGCAGCGTGTGCAGGTAGAGGCCTTCCACCAGCAGCCAGAAGTAGTTGGCCATGACGAAGTAGTTGAAGAACACCAGACTGGCCTTACAGCCCACCTGCAGCAACAGCAGCAGCACGGTTCATCACACAGGGAGCGGTTTGCATGATACAGATGAATATAATCACACGATAGTAATGAAATACACTTTGACACTGATTAAGGTTTAGTCATTTAGGAGATCAGTTTGTAGGTTGTTGTTGCAGAAGACCATAAATCTTGAAGGTAACTGGCCTACATGCTGATTCTGGACCATCCAGATGTTTGGAACTCAGGGGCTTTGAAACCGTTAAAGAACTGTTTTGTGTTTTATGCATTATGTTCCTCCAGCTGCTAAAGATTTAGTCCCAGCGACAGCCGAGAAAATCAGAGCTCAGTGTTCAGGTTTTGTACTAATCTGGTTAATCTGACTTTTAAAATGGTTTTGCAGGATGATTATGAGGCAGCCTGGCAGCCAAATGGCAAACTGTTGGACCAGAGTTATAAATCACAACCTCGCCATCGTTTTTTCTGCATCTTTCCCCACAGCAGCTTTCAGAATCAAATAAAAAATGTAGATCTGTCATGAGTAACTGTCATCCAGTCCCTCCCAGTCCTGATTACTTCTCTGTAAATAGCACCCAGGCTAGCTGAGGCTAGCTGTTAGCTTAGCTTAGCCATTTTGTCCAGATGAGTTTATTTACATAATTAAGACTGATGCTAAATCTGAATTCAGAACATTTACAAACATAGCAGCAGACAAAACTAGCTGCTAAGTGCTAACTAGCCTAGCTTAGCATCGTCGTCGTGTCGCTGTTGTGTTTAAACGCTGTTTGATGAGCATTGAAAAATGAATCTTCAGTCTGTTTCTTTTTTTTTTACAGCTTTCATGTTTGTTTGTGGGTTTGACAATAATAATCAGGGATTAATAATGAGTCCAAAGAAGCAGAATATGAATTTACTGCTCCAGAAGGTCACATCTTCATCAAAGCCACATGTGGCTGCTTTGGATTATTCTGGAGCAACAGCAGCTCCAAGAAAACTTTGTTCTGTGATTGCCCCATAGTCTGAGTCTCTGTGGACAGTTTTATTGTGTCCAGTTATGCTCCAAAATGGGATTTCCGCCTCTTGTTTCCATGTCAGGCAGAGATTCTTATGCATCACTGAACAAACTGTCTGATCTCAGAATAAAGAACATGGCATCTTCTCCATCATCGGTGTCTGAACAAAGCCGTGAGCAACATTTAAAGTGACTTTCTGTCTGGATGACTGAACGCCGTCACGTTACAAATCACACGTCTGAAAAGCGCTTAAATGCTGTCACAGCTTCAGTAAAACAAACATGTGAGTGTGTTTCGGTGTGAGTCGGAGGTCACCAGTGAAGGCTGCGTGCTGCAGTCGGTGTTCTCGTCGTTGGAGAAGAGCAGCGAGTCTTTGACCAGCACGGCCACGGCTCGCAGCATGAACGACACAAACAAGTTCAGATGGATGTAGTTCCTCATGCAGTGGAGCCTCCTGCACACACACACACACACACACATAGAGAAAAGCTGCAAAGTGTGTTTACACCGAGTGTCAGGGTGTGAATCCAGTGAAGGATGTGGTATCTAAACACGCCGATAGCCGCCGAGTGAACAGCTGGAGAGGATCCAGACGGAGCTGCAGCTGAGCTTCACAGCTGTCTGCAACAAACTGTTATCACGCCGAGCGCGCTGCTGCCTGCTCGGAGGCATGTGTGTCCAACGGTGTATAAATAGGCTTCCATTATATAACCTGAGTAATCCCTAATACATCCTGGGCTAATTCACCCACGCTTCGATGTTATTCGTTGGGCAACAAGTCTGTCTTTACAGAGAAAAGTGACTTAATAAGTGAAGTCTGTGAGAGGTGATCAGAAAGTTCTGGGACTGTTTGTGCAGCGTGTAAATAGTGGATATGCAACATCAGCATCAGGTTCTGTGTTTTTACATTTTCAGTTTGTCCTTGGAGCTCAAACTGGAGCAGAAACCAAACATTGTGATGAGCTGGCCTTCATGTGGAGGATCCTCGCTGGCTGTCGGACTCAGGGGATGAATCTGCTCCATTCAGGTCTTCCTCCCCTCAGCTTTCTATGCGTTACCATTTTTAAAATCCCCTCAACGACAACCTCTGAGCAGCTTCCTGAAAATGGTAAACTGAGGACTACATGATTGGCTTCTCCTCAGACCTCCACGTGGAGGTTAAATCATGACATCTATCTCGATACATCTATTCACAGCATAACGCCAACTGGTAATAAACACCAGAACAATCTGAACTATGGCACGATGGAATGGATGCTTCACAGCAGAATGGATTTTTTAGTCACAACAACCCAATTAATAAAGACGGCGTTGCAATCTTACCTAATTGTCTTGACTGAAATGGATCCTGACATTGTGATTTTTGTAATATGATTTTTTATATATTTGAAGATCTTGAGGTCGTTCTGCTGTACGGTTCACAGCTTGATTAAATTTGTCAACATTCACACTAATATGAACCTAAAATGTAATAAAAATCACCACAATCTCTGTAAAATATAACTCAGTAACTGGAGCTGTACAACTGGACAGTACACGTTTTAAATTGCAGCCGCTCACATAACTTAATGTTTTAAGAACAAATTTTACATTTTTAAATTGTTGGACTTTAACATTTGCATCATTAGCTTTTGGAGGGAGCTCTAACATTACAAGTATAATCCTCAGCCACTATTCAGGTCAGTTGTGAGCAGATAAAACTCCAGACGTTGATCAAAATGGTGCAATGAATGTTGGGATATGTGGAAAAGAAGGACGCGTTTGTCGGCCGCTTTTGAAGGACTCTCCATGTCTTAATGAAATGGATCGTCTTTGTTGAGTGCATTCGGCCTTCGAAGCCTCTGCACTGGGACACGGCTAGATTATGCACCATAGATGAAGTTACTGGTGTTGCAGGAGCACTGGGAGCTGCACAAGGAGAAGACTTCAACAAGGATGGCAGCTAAATGTAAATCAGGTACATTTATTTATTTTTTTATTTATTTTATCTGTGTTGCTTTCTGTATAACCTTTGGAAGCTATTTACGACTTTTCTGGGTTAATCTCATTTAAAAAAAAGTGTGGCATCACAAAATCTATTCTGAAAACCAATATTAAAAATGTATTATCAGTTGTTTATTTCTTGAGACTGGACCACCTCCTGTAGATGTTTCGAACACAACCTCCTAAACATCCATCATAGCTCTCAAGAAGTTATTTCGGTTTTTGGAATTGGTGCACAAACCTAATTGTATTTTTGAGTCTCCTGTAGAGGGTTCGTCTGTCGTGATTGTGCGACCGGTGGGCGTTGTGCGTTTACCTGAACAAACAGATGATGACGGTGCTGGTGAACAGAGTGATGAGCGACAGGCTGTGGCCCAGAGTGGCCAGAATCCGCACCACCTTGTAGAAGTTTAACTGCACACAGAAACAAAGAAGACAATTCAAAAAATTTAAATCAAACCATTGGTTAAAGCTGATCACCACCTCACAAAGTACAGCAACCCTTTTTTTATTCCTCTGAACCCAAAGCAACTTCTGGACGTTTTTCCTCACTGCTACATAAAGTCCTGCACCTCTACGGAACCAGAACAACCAGAACTAGAAGCAGAGAGAACTCAGAAGCACCCAATGTGCACTATATCAAAGTTATAATGCCATTAATAATGAAAAAGAGAGTGCGAGAACCACAACAGTTGATTTTCTTTGATTATTTGTTTTATCAAAATGGAAGAAAAAAAAAACATATAAACAACATGTATGACATTTTTTAAGTACCCAAAGGTGTTACCAATACTGGAAAAACAATAAGGCTCCACATACACAATACAAATAAGACGTTTCACCATTAAGATGTTTCACCATTAAGATGTTTCACCATTAAGATGTTTCACCATGCTGAATGCATCCTCCAACAGCTTACACCTCTGTATAACATTTTTTAACCGTGTTGTGTTTATTTTATTGATCTTTTTACTCATTTTGTTCAGTCCATTGCCTTTATTTGTCTATTTTTATTTGATCTTTTCTATGTTTTTTACCCAGATTTATATGTATTCTAGTGGATAGCAAAGAAAGAAATCCATTTACATCCATGCGTATACGTGAACTTTCCGTGGCACCAATACCAGCCTCATTTGAACATTTCGCACTTTGCGCTCCATTTTCAAGGGCCGGTAATTAAAACCTTTGTCTCTGCTGGAGCTAATCAATCATTCAATCATCTGAAAACCATTTTTTCTCTGTTCTCACCAAATTTCATGACTGTGGGAGTTTGATTTCTGGAGATATTGAACCTTTAAAATGGCTTGTTGCTTCTCTTCTCCGCCTAAAGTTCATCCAAAAACTCTGAATTTTTGTCGCAGGCAGCCAGTTTCCTTTATCTGAGTGCGTACTGCTCATTAAAAACAACAATTAGTGAGACCCAGAAGCACAAAGGTCCACGTCCACGCACAAAATACTCAATTTTCTTTCCTGGAGTGAAAAAAAAAAAAAAAAACACCATCCAGGCAATTTTTTTCCCACAGCAGCCGACAGCGATGAGACATGATCAGCAGAACTCTCTCAGCTTCACGAGGTTCTTTTTTTTTTTGTCCGAGGCTCTTTCACAACGAGCCCGAGGTCAGGACCAGAACGAGGATCTGGTCCATCTCAAAACAGCGTCGACTCTCCTCAAACTCCAACGTTGTGTGTTAACGCTGCCCACTATACATGAGTGTGTGTGTGTGTGTGTCGGTGCCTGGCGTTCATCGCTCTCTCGTCATGTATAAACAACATTCCCCACGTCTGACACACCATCTGGCAATTAACTCGCACACAAACACTCTATATATAGCGCCACGCAAACATCACACGAGCGTATTGGTACAGGTAAAAATAGACGACGTATGCACGTTATGTTGGCGTCGCCGCGACCTGGACGACCCAAAAACGCTTCAGCGGTCCTTCAAAGACGCGACAACCAGACAGAATATTTCATTTTTCAAACGCATTTCCAAAGACGTCCAACTTGCCGTCCATCTGCTTGTGTTTAGTGGGTTTTGTTTTTTCTGACATTTTTGGAGACTTTCTTATCTTCTCTGACCCTCTTTAGATATTTCTTTCCGCTCATTTTTCTTTTTTAAATGTTTGACAAGTACGTCGCTCCATCCATTTGACCTTAATTCTCCTCGTCGTGTTTTCTTATTGCTCTCCTCCCCATTTTTATCGCATTTCTTTGACTTGTTTTTTCATTCTCTCACTTTTGCGCTCAGTCTTTCTCCAATGTCTACATTTTATTAGTAACTTCGATAAGTGAGGTTCATGCATGCTAACTTTTGGTGTAAAAGTAAACCGACGTGACACGTTTCTTCACTTTAATTTAAATATGCACCATGGCGTCTTATTATAAATGTTGGTGGAACGTTAAAAACTTTTCAGTGTGGTAGGTCAACACTCGGAGGCTGTTGTTGTAGTTTCTTGCGGTGAAATGAGCAGCTTATACCCGTAGTCTACATCCAGTGCGTCTGAGTAACTTGGCGTTAATATTAGTCTTGCGTAAACCCACCAGAAGTGGACAGCTCTAAGTATAAACATGATTGCATCCAGGAAGTGTTGCGATGAGATTGCTCAATCCACACTGGGAGGCGGTCTGAGTCACACATGACCACATTCTCTTAACAGGCAACAATACGGTGACTTCACTGGTATCTTGGCAAATTCCTGAATCCTCCCAGTTCCTGGCTAATCCAAAAACGAGCAAAGAGATGGAGAATGAGAGAAGCTGAGGTCAACCAGCCACTAAAAGCAGCCACAACTTTTTATTTAAGCCTTATTACAATTTAAATGAATGAGTTTCAAAAAAATTTCTCCCAAAACAGCTGCCGTGAATGACTAACTAGCTACAGAGACCAAAAGCACGTCTTGCACCAGGCTGTAAACATGTTTATTTCTGCTGTAAAGTTGGACTTTTTAACATGGACGTCTATGGGGGGTTGACTCAATTTTGGAGGCAGCCTCTAGTGGACAATCGAGGAACTGCAGCTTTGGGACCAGATAGTCAGTGTCTTGCTGCAGGATGACTTTTTGGCGATCAGACGCCTCCTAGACGGTGTGACGGATGCAAAACGAGCACAAGCAAAACATAGAAACACAGGAATCTTCGCTACAATCTGATGCAGGCCATTTTCAGAAAAACTACTTTTCCACCGTGGCATCACGACTTTGACTGATCTAATGGGTTTCGGCATCGGGTCCACCCGTCTCTGTCCGTCCACTGTAAATATTCACACGAACAGACAAATATCTGAGCATACACAGACAGCAGCAGCCTGGCATCAGCGTCTCATTCCTCAGTCGGACTCTCAGGCCTTCTGGCTGCGAGCTGATGACCTGCTGGCTCCGGTCGCTGCCTTCTACGTCCAGAAAATTCTGGCTTCCTCCGTGACACCAGAGAATTAAAGCCGTGTTGAACTTCAGGCTTAAACAGCTTCCTGGCCGCGGTGGAAATCCGCAGGACTCTCTTTATCTGCTGCTCGCCGTGTCGTGGTTTAAATCAAAACCGAGAGAGAGAGACCTTAAAATGACAGTGATCCAGGATAAAACGATCCATTTGCTGCTTTAAATGTGGACGTCAACAGAGCACAATGACCTCCAGATAACCGGTGTGCTCTCGTGGGAAACTTTGCGTAATCGTTCCTTAAGCAAATTAACAACAAAGTTTCAATCAAGTAGATGATTAGAGCTTTTGATATATTCAGTTTGAGAGGCTTTTATGCATCAGAAAGCAGCGATTTACGTCTCTTTAAACGTAAAATCTTGCAAAAACGTCTTAAACAGTCTCCAGTGCTGAAGTCTGCATGTGCAAATGAGGAATTAAAGTTTGTTTAAAGCCTCTGAAAACGACTCAGGATGTGTCCTTTACCGTTTTATGCTCCTTCTACTTTCATTTCACTGCTTCTCAGAGTTAAATATTACTTTTTCCTCCTCCACCTGCTTCTCTCTTGACAGCTGTAGTTACGTTTGGATTGAGATTTTACACAAAAGAAGCACATGATGAGCTTATAAAATACATTATTACAGATTAAACTAGTGTTTAACATCCTCAGTGTGTGACATCTTGTATATACGTATAGTTTCTCACATTGCTTCATTTACATTAGACACAAATAGGTTAAAAAAAAGATCTAATACTACAAAAAAAAAACTGCAAAAAGTGCATCAAAGTATTAAAAAAATGCACAGTAGGACTTGTGTTTATCTTCTTTCTCTCTGATTATTCATCTCATGACCCGTGGGATTAATCAGGTGACCCTCTGAGTCTGGGAACCACCGACTGAAGCGGCCAAATGCATTCAAAATAAACAGCAAAGCGCTGCTTACATGTCGATGCATCTAATAATACCAGTCACAGGGGACGTTTCACTGCAGAGAGATGATTTGTTGCTCATATTTCTGGACTTTTATGTGAGCAGGATTGAGCTTTCACTTGTAAGCCTTTCTTTGACCGATCCGAGGGCTTCTTCCTTTCGGTCGATCAGACGGGCGATCGTCTGTATCTGCAGCGAGAGCCGAGTGCCAGCGGTGACGTCTGGACTCGGCGGAATGTTTTCCAGATGGAAAACCTTTTGTCTCTTCAACAGGAAGCGAACAGAAGCTTCAGAGAGTGGGACAGCGGGAATGCCACACCTGAGGGCTCTGGAGAGGATCACCAGCCGGCCGAGTGCTAAACGCAGACTCCTGCATTATCTGTGTGAGGTTCAGGCCTCGGCTGTGAGGACACTTTAGGTCTGTAAGGTTTCAGCGTTCAGATGTGAGTCAGGTTTAAGTTGCAGCTTTGAGATTCTGCCTCCGTAGGTCACCTCAGAAAAGCAGCGGGATGAAAACGTCGACTTTCAGCTTTAAAGCAACTATTTAGTAGTTCGACCCTCCAAAGAAAATCAAGATTTAAAAAAAAGAGAATTATTTAAAAAAGTGAACGTATATTACAGAAAAATAAAAAGTTCTGCAGTTCATAGGTACACTGTAAAAGAAATAAATAAAATTGGGGAAAAAAAACAAACAAATAAACAAAAAGTCTGTCAGCTGGGGTGCCAGAAAGAATATGTCAAAAAAATGTAAAAAAAAATAAAAATAAAATCGGGACAACTGTAACACAAAAACTATCAAAACAAACAAACAAACAAACAAATAAATAAGGATTGTTTTCAGATTTTGCTGAAATACATTTTTTTAAAAATCTGATTTTTGATTTATTTATTTTTTTAAGCAGACATTATTCAGAATTTTGGCCTTTGTGTTTTAAATTTGTTTATCTAATCTGTAAAATAACAGCAAATTATCCAAAATAAAAATGACAGTTAATAACGAATAAAATCACAGGGAAAACCATGAAAATATTATATTACATAAATATACAAATATTTTACAGATTTTATTCA